AGCTAAATCACTTATTTCCCACACTGCTCCCTGTTTTTCTTTATCAGTGGCTGTTTGAGATGATCGATGAGATGTGGCTTAGAGCTGCTCATAAACCAAGTCTGGAAGGCATGGATACCCTAATTAGGCTGCAGAGTTGTCTGTCTAATTGAATAATACTGACCAGATCACACTTGTTACACTGGTAAAACTGGCACTTTGGCTGACACAGTGTGCAGTCACCAATTTGGGGTTGATGAGGAAATTAAACCTGGTTGCACTTCTGTCAAGAAGCCAGCTTGATGTCACTGTGGTAAGGTCCCAGGTTCTTAGAAGATATTCTGAGGCACCTTCTTTTCTCTATCTTTTTGAAATTCATTAATTCATTAATTCAGTATGAAATACTTAAAATTTTAGTTGGTCAGAGACAGCAAAATGAGTGTATGACCCTGAGTACTGGTGGGGAGCTCTCTTCCAGGTCTGAACCAGGACTGGGTGTAAGGGGAAGTCTTACTTCATGGATATGTGGCCTGTTTGAAATCTGCCTTTTTTTTTTTTTGCAAGAGGCTAATTTGCCATAGACAGCCAATGTTAGAAGAAAATTTACATCTGTGACTCCTCCAGAATATCTCCTTTCTGTGCACTGAGCCTTTCCTGAGCAATCATGTTCTCACTAGCTGGCTTGGCTAGCTCCCACTCAGCACACTCCAGCTTGCTGAATTCTGTTCCTGGAGCACCTCATGGAGGGGATCCCAAACTCCCCAAGTGCCAAAGAACAAGACACCCTGGTGTTGTGTTTTAAAACAATGTGGGAATGAGTCACTTCCCAATACTAAGGAATTAAGTGACATCAAATTGTACTTGTGTCATTTGTTTTGCAGTGAGGTAGTGATGCATGCGTGCAAACATTGATTTAACATGGCTTTGTCTGCTCAGAGCAGAAGTTTATACAGACATAGGAATGCCAATAATTTTCCAGCTGAGAAACATGAGATTAAACTGTTGCACTGACCTCTGGTGCAATAGCTGCTAATTTTGCATGGAGTAAAACAACACAGAGTCAATGCAGAACAACTGTTGTGGCACTGTTTTTTAAATCTCATTGTGGATTGTTTGCAGGTCTGTATGTGCCATTAAAAACAGGGCTTCAGGGCACTGTGAGAAATCAGTGGCTGATATCCCTGACCCAGGGCAGACTCACCTGTCAGGGATGGTTTAGATTGTTACATAAGTGTCCCTGTAAATCTCCAGTGGTGGAGATTTCACAGCCTCCATCAGTGATGTGTTTTACTGCTCACCTACTCCAACCACCAGAAGCATTTTCCTTAGGTCAAACTTCCTCCTGTTCCAATTTTGAACACGTTACTCTTCTCACTGAGCATAGGAAAGACTTTTTTCTTTTCTCTGTATGATATACTTCGATTTTTCTTCGCGGTCTTTTCTAGACTGCATACACCTGATTGATTCTTTCATGAATTTGATCAGAGATCTGAAAGATTTCTAATACATTCACATTAGTATAAATTATTCTTGAAGGACAATACCCAAAATCAACATAACTGTGTGAAAGATGGTTATCAGAACCAAGAGTAAGAGAGAAAGCTGCACATGCAAATTATAAGTTAATACATTTGATATAAGAAAAACAGAACCATCTTTCAGTTGTTATCTCACAATCTGCTCTCCTGGTGTAAAAAGAACTCAGTTATGTGGAGTTCAGCTGTTTTTCCAACCACACCACACTGCATCAAAACCACTGAATTAATTAGCTGTTTATGAAGAACACTGTGTGTGAAAACCAGGATTTATAAATGTGCTAGTACTGGGAAACCCTTGTATTCACCCCAAAGCTTCCCTAGACCAACAGCTTCAAACAATGCATTTTCTGCCAGGTTGATATTCAATTACTTGAAGTGACATAACACAGAAAAAGGCTACTGCAATTGTAAACCCACAGTACTTGAAGGAATTAAAGCATTGATGCTGCTTTCTGCCTTCCAAAGAACCAAACTTACAGCTAATTCTTACCATTAGGCTGAGCTCATTAGGCACAACCTCTCTTTCCTCCATAGAACAAGAGAGAAGCTGCAGAACTTTTTCTTCTTCATTTACTTTTAGAATAAGAAAATAATATTCTGCCATAGATTCCTTAGCTGCTAAAGGATGGAAACAAATGCAGTGATATGATCTGAATACTTTATGGAGTTTTATAGTTAGTTTTAGTTACATTGTCGTGGTTTCCCCCAGCAGCAGCCAAGAACCACACAGCCTCTCACTCACTCCCCCACCAACGGGATGGGGGAGCGAATTAGAAGGGTAAAAGCTACAAAAACTCATGGGTTGAGATAAAGACAGTTTAATAGAGAAAGCAAAAACTGCACACACAAGCAAAGCAAAACAAGGAATTAATTCACTGCTTCCCACAGACAGGAGGTGTTTAGCCATCTCCAGGAGAGCAGGGCCCATCACGCGTAACGGTTCCTTGGGAAGACAGACGCCATCACTCCAGATGTCCCCCCTTCCTCCTTCTTCCTCCCACCTTACATACTGAGCATGATGTCATATGGTATGGAATATCCCTTTGGTCAGTTTGGGTCACCTGTCCCAGCTGTGTCTCCTCCCAATCTCCCATGCACCCCCAACTTCCTTGCCAGCATGGCAGTACGGAAAGCAGCAAAGGCCTTGACTCTATGTAATAACAAAAACATCAGCAATAACAAAAACATCTCTGCATTATCAACTCTGTGTTCTGCACAAAACCCAAACATAGCCTCATACTAGCCTCTGTGAAGAAAGTTAACTAACCAGCACATACATGTAAAGAATGACAATAGTATTGGTGGTTATGCTTTCAGAATTGATATTTTGCTTCACTAGAATGTCATTTTGGTATTTTCAACATATACCACACTGATGATCTGTATAAATCGACTAGTTCTGTTGGTGTTTGGGTGTAATATTTAACAGGTAAGACCTAAATAAACCCTTTGTTAACATTCAGAAAAGGTGCTGGAATGAACAAAACATTTTAAAGGTTATCACATTATCAACTTCATGAGTCTCCCTCTACAGTGCCAGTTTCTAATGAGAAAGCATTATGTGCTCATTTAAGAAAGCCTCAGAACTCCTGAAGAGTGCTGACCCATAGTAGGCAAACTTATTCATCTATAATACATGAAAGATCAGGACTTCCTTTTGCAGAAACTATGCTGAGTATGCAACTGGGAATAGAATACTAGCTGATTAAGGCAACTAACTTAAACTTTCAAAAGTAGTTTAATTAGAGATTAAAATTATTAGATTGCAGTGAAAAGCACAGTTATTACCCTGAATTTAGAGGATCCTTAAAAAGACATAAAATTAAGTTTCCCTCATGGCAAAACCTTGAGATTCTGAAGCATAATTTCTGTTCTGCTCATTAGTTCATCATAACATATATGGTCATATAAGGTCAGAAAACATGTTGCTAACAATTGCGCAAATTATCAAAGATTAGCCTGAGACATGCTTGGTGAAATGGAAGAGTGGATAGAGAGTGGCTAATATAAATTGGTGAAGGTATTTCAGATACAAAGGTAGCAGCTTTTACCATTCTACTACTTTCTTTCTGTCTCACATACACTGGATTTAATTGATAATAAGTTACTGAAAATAACTTGGAGAACACCTTCATATTTAAGAATCAGGTTTAACCATCAGAGATTAAGGTGAACACTATGGGGTAAATGCATCAGTTTTGCAGCAAAGCACAATGGAAAAAGCTGGTGCTAGGTAGCAATCAGAATCAGAATGCCAAAGAGAGACAGACCACTATCCTCAGCAAACTTGTAAAAGAAGCAAATTTATCTTAACTAGTATATCTTTGCAAAATTTCCTCATTTTAATAATTTTCATGGAAGGAACTTCTTGTGCGACTTCACTACAGCTGCAAGGAACAAAATGCAAGCAACAGATTCAGGTTTGCAGTAGGTGCTAAAGAAAAAAAAGGCTGCAGCTGAAAACCCATAAGGGATATTTTTTTGCCAGTCTCTAATTTGTTGCCAGAATTTATTGCTAACTTGTGTTCTGTGTTAATACCAAAGTACAGCGACACTTCAAATCCACCAGAGCAATTCATTAAAAACTGCATTTTGGGACGTGTCAAATCTAAGACTGAATAACTGGCATTTCCCAATTTTAACCTTGAAAACACAGAAGTGCAAACAAATTTAATTCAACATAATTCTCTATCCAAACTTCAAAAATGGCCTCTGACATTGCCTGAAGTATGAACTCTTTACAGTGCCAAGGAAGTCTGTATGTGCTAGGAAGCTGGGTTTTTTTTAGAAGAGCTTAAACCTTGGTCAGCATTTTAGTCATCCCTAACTGTGGTTCAGGAAAATAAGGTACTTATGATTGATGTTTTCAATGTGAATCTTAAACAGCAAAGATCCAACACGACTCTCCTGAGTTTTTATGCATTGAGATGATGATATATTCCACATGTATGTGATATATAGTACATGCATATACACACTATAAACACTACACATAAATACATAGCCCATGTATATATAAATAGATATAGTTCACCTACAAGGGCCAAAAATCTTTTGCAGCTATCCTTGTCAGCTAAGGTACAGCACAATCATCAGGATTCACCAACCAAGAACTGGATATGTCAAACATTAACATTAAGCCTGACACAATAGCTGTGGTTTTACTGTTCTTATATTTGATAGTGCAAAACAAGGAAAAAGTCAGTAGTTTACTATTGAAGATATTCCTAATTCCAAAAAAGTTTCTGTTTGTAACCAAAAATGCTGTAGTTGTTTGGGGGTTTTTTTGCAAGGACTTCAGGTAAAATATTTGAGGCCAAATAAATTATTATAATGTCAATAATGTTTTTATGGGACTGGATTATAAAACTGGCAATGCTTTATACAACCTTAGGAAAGAAAGCTTAAAAAAAGATCTTTTGCCTTTGTGGAAGAGCATGCTGGCAGCATGTATAAAGCAAATATAACAAGCCCACTTGGAGCTCAAGCTGTACAAAAGTCAATATGTGCTAGTAATTCTCTGTGCTGGCTTGTGGGATAAGACACTTTGCATTTGGGACACTCGAGAAAGCTTTCATCAAGGAGGCTTGAATGTTTGCGGAAAGGACTTGTGTCATACATGGTCATGTCTTCAAACACAGCTTGCAGATCTTCTTGTGGTTCCCTATGCCCAGATTCCCGGAGTTTCTGGAAAAGAGAAGTCTTTAGTGTAAGACTGGGGCATGCACATGCTGATCAAATACTGCAGGATACAATATTCAGGCTTGATGGCACATGAGCCTTGTGTGTGTTAAGCACTAAGGATTGTGCCCTGCTCACCAGCAGCAAGGGAGAGTAGAAGCATATTGCAGCTTCATCATGCTGCAACAGACAAAATGAGATAACACAGTGTGATACAAAACACAGTTGTGCTCCTGCTGAGGAACTGCTCTGGACCTCCTGCTGCAGTATTCGTGCTCTGTGCCTGCTCTGGGGAAAAGCAGTGCCTAGCTACCTGCCTGAAAGGGTTCTGCAGCTCGAGGCCACACACCTAAAGGAATTAAGAACACTTACTACACTTGAAATAAGATCCCAAAGTGAGAAGATGGAGGTTTATGCAAAACCCCTGACTAAATTCAAGCTGTTCAGTACATACCAGAGGTTCCAGACGGGTTATTTGCTCCCTGGCCTTGTGCAGTTCCTTGAGGACTTTGTTCAACTGATACTCCAAGTTCTGGCGAACAAGCTCTCCATTCTCTAGGTCTGTTGTGTACATCTGGATCTGGCAGCGCCCCAAAGTGAAAATTAAAGGCAAAATTATTAAGAGTTGAGAGGAATGCTTCCCATTTATGTGTTTAAAGTCAGTTGTACTCTGCAATCATTACCTACAATGGGATCAAAAGGGTAACATTTTATAGCGAAGCCTATAGTGCAAGTTCTCATTAAAAACACCAGTTTATCCTCCAGGTTCCTTCTTGTATGAAGATAATTTGGACAGAAACTATAGATAACACTCTACACGCAAGCTTAGCAAATAAACCTCTTTTTCTCCAATAATATCCACTAGATCTGTAAAACTGTGCTTGGGAAAAATAAGAAAAATATGGCAATGCAATTCTTTCTATAACTTTGTCAGAAGTGTATTATAAAACTTCAACAAGCTGATTCATGTGAAGATGTTTCCTGTACCTAATCTGAGGCTGTAACTGTTGAGCAAGTGGCTGTGGAGAAAATAGTATCAGGTCTGATCACACCCTCTTATCAGTAAAGGTTACAAGATTTTCCTCTTGACAGATGTATTAAAATTTTTAGAAGCATCAAGAGATTATCCACAGCTTGATTTCTATGAGGTTAGTCTAGAAAGACTTTGTGCACAATAAATATCAGCATTTTGGCATAAAATTGGGTACCTGTTGTTCCAACAGAGCTATTCGAGAGTGCTCCTCCTCCTGTCTGAGCAATGACTTATGAAGAAGTTGCACCTACAAGGCAAAGAAACACTTGTCACAACTTCCACGTACAACAGTTAAACAGCTTAAAAAAGAATTAATCTGTAATGGGATGGAAGCAAACTTTTACATTCCAATGCCAACAGAAAATGTATGCCTGTTATGCAACAGCCAAACCCAATTCAAATATCTCTACTTCCCTGGGGAAAACCGCAGGGAAACATCATTATTGCACTGAGAAGGGCAATGTAGGATGAAGTTATCATTCAAATAAAAAAGAAACATCAACCTGAACTTTCCTAGGTGATTCGTGACAAAAACATACACACAAAACCTGTGTTTGCACTAACATGACATGATATTGTTAGTAAGGCCAAACAATGCAACTTCTTGTAATAGAAGAGAACAAGATTAAGGCTCACAAAGCACTACACTATAATGACTAAGTAAATGCACACATAAAAATGTCCTCCATTTCCAGCATGTATCAACTTTTATGATAATGCTTTTGTCCAGCTTCAAAAAAAATAAAGTGAAATCAGCATCTTTTAATCATTACTAACCAGTGAGAACCAGCCTGTATATAGACAGCTGAACTATTGTTCTGGGTTCAGCCTGCTTTAGTGTCTGCTAAATTTTATTCTCATATTTCAGATTTGTTACAGAATCATCAAGGTTGGAGGAGACCTCTAAGATCATCAAGTCCAAACATTAACCTGTTATTGGGGTCCTTGCGAGGGACGGACTACAGCACACCAATATGATGCTCTGATAGCCAACTTTATTTAGGGCACCTAACAGTATTTCTAGTAAAATGTCTCCCGTACATGCAGCTACGCACTGATCACACAACTTTGGACTGGTTGCTCAACTTGTCCGTGCGTACAATTCTTAATTATGATAGGTTACAAGTTTAAGCTGCATCCCGCTCTCACATCCTGGGAAACTGACAACAAGAGCTACAGAGTGTCTATGAGAATCTAAACAACAGCACTATTCTCAGCTTGTTAGCAAGACGACTTATCTATAAGGCAGAAAAAACAAAACCAAACCTAAAAACCCTGGCAGCAGGAGAGAACAAAACCATTATAAAGTGTTGGATTGAAGACACAGGAATGCATGAAGATAGAAACAAGGTCAGCAAGACCTATTTTGTGTGTCTCGTTTTTAATTGCTTAAGCATTCCTTTAACCATTGCTCAAGTTACAGCTCCTCTGCTAGCCAGGCCCCAACAACCTGTCACTGCTGTAACCCCATAACCCTAAACCCTATCCAGGTCCAGATGCCTCTCAAACACTTCCAGGGATGGTGAGTCCACTACCTCCCTGGGCAATATTCCAGTGCCTGAACACCCTAATAGTGAAGAAGTTTTTCCTTCTAACCTGAATCTCCCCTGTCTCAGGTTATTTCAGTTCTACACTGCTTTGTTATTGACCTCAAACTTCCCCAACAGCAACTGTGTCTTATTTGGATGCCCTAAGATCTGTCCTTCAAGGAGGACTTTCCAGTTTCTCTTCAGCAGATATGTGATCATGATTTCACATCCAGAAGAAAAACAAAAATTTTTTTATATCTTTGTTAGTGTCAACATCCACATAGGAATATTCCAAGACACCACTGTAATTCTCCATGTAGTGGAAGTGGCAAAGTCCTCATGAGTATTTCAAATACAAGGAGATAAGCACTGAGTATTTTTAAAGACAAACATGCAGCCCATACACATCCTCCCCCACTTCTGCTCAGCCAGAGTGGTTAAAGTCATTGGGCTCAAAACAAAAGGAAGGAAGAATTAAGAATTTCACATATGAACAGAATTATTTCACCAAAGTCATCGAGGTACTCCCTGGGAGATGGGCAAGCCCTGTGAACACAAGTCTGACACAAAAGCAACAGAACAGATCTGACAGCAGTGTAAAGCTCACAACGGAACAGCCTGTCTGACAAGCACTTCCCAGAGTGCCTTCTACTTCTTAGGCTTTATAGGGAATCATGGAAATCTTCTCAGTGGTTTCTACCATAGCCATCTTCAAGACAGTGACAACTTAAGGTCTATCCCTTCCCTTGCTTATCTGTCCTTTGCTTTCTAGTACTCAGGTGTACTTGCATAGTTCTTATCCATCATACAGAGAACTAAATGCAAGAACTCACCTGAATAGCAAAACAAAGAGAAAAACAATCCAGTTGTGTGACTGCAGTGCTTGGCTGAGGGCACTATCCAGGGACACAGCTTCTTACCTTGCAATTCTGAAGCTCCAAGCCCATGTGTGTATTATAGCAGCCAGGTGATCACAGGATCAGTGATATTCCATAGTTAGGAACACACAATAAAATGAGTTTTTACCTTTTCTGTTCTCATTTACTATTAACCTTGAGGATGAACTATATTGAAACCAATTACATATTTTCTCACTTCTCCCTCCTGTCCCATAAGACCAGAGAAAAAAGTGAACAAAGACTTTCCTTGTTTAAACAACAAAATTTCACAAAAGGCTAGATTTTGATTCAAACCAATGTATTAGAGGAAGAATTCAGTTTTAACCAAAAGTCTAGATCTATGAAAAGAAGAGTTAGCAGAGTGAGTGTTGGTCCAGTCTGATTAGGTATGACTTTTCACCTCTCTTGATGATCTCAAACCTCAAAGGCATCAACTTACCTGACATAAAAGATCTTCAGACTTCTTTTTTTCTTCTCTGAGCTGTTCTCTGATAGTTTCATTTTCTTGGTTCAGCCTCTGTGCTTTCTCTTTCATTCGATTTTCATTTTCCAGGGTCTTCATCTCAGCAACTCCTAGTGACTGCACTAAGGCATTTAACCTCACTACTTCTCCCTGTGTTTCTTCATATGACTTTTTGATTTTTTCAAGTTCAGATCTTAGCTGGATTGTAGTGCATCGTTCAGTCTCAAGATCACTCTTGGCAGTCAGTAACAGCTGGTCATAGTATTTTTGCTTTTCCTCTTGTAGATGACCTTAATGAGTTAGAAATAATTGAGATAATAGTGTGAAATGAAATCACTTAAAAATCAGAGCACCAAATCCTTGACAGCATTTTAAGGCATATTAATAGAAATTGATGCTATAGGCTATTACACAGCTCACATTAGCACCAAACTTGAGTCAAAACAGCTTTCAATATTTATAGTGCATAAAGTGTTCTTACCAATATAGTAACTGGAAAACTGCAACTTGGCTTGTGTATGGCATTCTGTGCTACAGCTACTTTCACCACTAACTCTTACAGCAATATTATATCCTTTGCCATGACTACGCAAGCTCTGTGATCCACATGGCTCTTATATGGCCTCATGCATTATACTGACACATGGGAATCATGACCCAAAGTAACTAGATCCTTACTTCAGTTTTAGGCTCTTTAGCCAAGGTTCTGGCACTATTCCCTCCCCAGAGATACCCTGGGGTTCTGATGGACTCTACTTCACCATTAGTGACCAAAGTCAGACCACCCACTGTCTTTTGCAGACCATCTTCTTCAAATTGTATGCTGTCATTTACTTCTAAATAGCAAATAGAAAGGGCTAGGATAGATTTTTTTATTTTAAAAATGCCTGTTTCTTGGCTAGTGACGGCTACTTAAACCTAAGTTTGAAAAATTTCTGCTTGTTGACCCAAGAAAAATTTAGTAAGTAGAAAAAAATGAAGAGGCAGTCTGCAGAAATTCAGTAGCAATACAAAATACACCCAGAAGCAGAACAAGAAATGTACAATTTCATGGGCTTTGCTGATTTTTGGCACTGTCTCTTGCCTTTGATGCTCTTCCCATTGAAGGCTTTCCCTCATGCTTCAAAGTGTCATTTAGTAGGGAGAGTTTCTTGCTTGACTCTTCTCCCTTCCCTCAGCTATGAGCTAAGCCTTACCTTCTCATTAGCAGTACTGCTTTCTGGGGTGGTGACTTCCTCAAAGATACAACAGAAGAGAAACTTGTCATATCTACTTACAACTTATCTAGCTAAGTTCTTAGGAATTTGGATTTCTGCTACTGTTTAGCTTCTTGAAGAGGATAACTTTCTTACACCTTAACTCCCAGTCTCCTGACTGCTCTGATGACTAAGCATTGACTGCTCTAACTTTTCCTGGTATTACATTTCCTGGTGAGCTACTTCAGTCTGCCTCCCTCTAAAAATGCTGTTCATAGATTTCTGAACAGCATCAAAACATGGTTATGATGATATTTTACTGTTTTCCATAAAGATTCAGCAATGCAGACCTGAAGCCACTGCAAGTGAATTCCTAAGTGGCAAGTCTGTGGGCTGCTCTTACTCCAGATGATGCTGGTTCTGTTCAGTGAATTTACCTTGCAGGTCAGTTGCAGCATATATGAAATTAATAATTTGATAATAAGAAAAGCAAGTCAACATCCTCTGGTCCTTCTGCTCAAGGTGACTGTAATTTTATTAGTGCTGAGAGCATATGCCTCACTGAGGAACTGCATAGCAAGGAAGTGAGCTGGAGGTGGCCAGGTCCATATTGCAAAGCACTGTTCTGGCTAGGTGCCAAAACCTGTGACAAGTTTTCATGCCCTACAACAACAGGTACAGGTGAGTAAGGAACGTGGCAGTCTTGAGTCATTTTTGTAATATTTATTTTGAAAAAAGTAAATTTGTAAAAAATCTGATCCACACCTAGCTAATAAATCCTGACTGCTCCCATTATGTAGGCTGAAAAGTGTACTTTGAAGGATGGGAGATGGACATCTATTTGCCTCAACACTTCCCACAAACAGAGAGGTTGCTAATAGAGTGTCAAGGCTGTTGAAAACCATCTTTGAAGTGGATAAGAACACGAAGAACTGTTAATCAACTGACAGAGCTAGACAACAGGAAGCAAAGAAATATTACTTAACCAAGTTTTACCAATAAGCATCCAAAGTGTTGAGAACAAAGTCTTGATTTTGTTTAATTGTGCTGTAATTTGTTTTCAGAATATTTATTCTAGAGATAATTATGGTTTGGGTCACCGGTGGGGAAAAAATAAGGTCAGTACCTTCTGAATTTGATTCTTTAGATTCTTGTTGGCCAACTCTCTCTAACTTCTGTTCAAGTTCAAAGATCCTTCCAAGCAAGCCCCTGACATAGGCTTCACGTTGCTGGTCGTACAGCAGCCACTGCTGGTTTTTCTCAAGGGCCTTCATGAAAAGGAACAGAAGAACAAAAAAAAGTGTCTGGTAATTTGTCACATTTTAAAAGTATTTGTCTCATTTCTTGAAAATGTTAGAACTTACATATTATACAGTTTAAAGATAAGCTAGTTAAGTCTGCTGCAAATTACAGTAATCCCTGTACAATAAATAAAACCCACCTTCATTTGGAAACATGAGTCAGGCTGCTGAGTGTAAGTTAAAACTGCAGCAATATTAAATACTGACTGGTTTACTTCCTGGAACAGGAAAATTACTTTAAGAACAAAAGCTGTCATAAATCATGCCTAGATTATGAAGAATTAACTTTTCAGTCTCAAATATAAAATGGCAGACCTTGAAAATGGAATAAAACTATCATTCCAACTTAGTGTTTGTATGAATCAGGATGTGGATTTTATAGCTGATTGGATCATAGAATCCTTCAGCTTGGAAGGGACCTCAGGAGGTTTCTGATCCAACCTCATGCTATCCAAGCAGTGTCAGATCAGGTTCCTTAGGGCTCCTGATTTTTCAGCAATCACTTTATTCTTGTGTTCCAAGCAAGATTTTTCAAAGATGCTGAAAATCTTATTTTTTCTTTTGCAAGTTTTTCTTTGAAATTTAAATTATTGTCTCATCACAAAATAATTTTAGATATTATATTGCAGAGGGAAACGCACCCTCTAAGGTCCCAAGCTACCCAGAAATGTGTCTGATGGCAATTTACATTCTTATGCATCTCGGTACAGATGATATGTACTTGCAATGCTGTACAGGAAACTTACATCCTTCAACTCTCTTTCAACTTCAGAGAGATGAGCTGGAGATCCAGTGCTGTTTGCTACAGCTTCCTGCAGACAAAGAATAGCCTGTTAGAGCTGTACAAATGGATGGCTGAAGCAGCAAAGCTACTCCTGTAGAACTATTAATCTCACATAAATAGCATGAGAATATTTTTCGAATAGAGAACAGGTGCATGTGTGCAACATGTGCCCTTTGTGTCTAAACATCCTTACTTGTTGCTTTTTTTTCTTTGAAGGGTCTAAGTTATGTAGCAAACCATTTCATAGATTTAAAAGAGACTCTTCTGCAAGATACAGGACAAAGATTTACATTTAATTTATTCCACTACTCTGCAACTCATAGTTACATGAAAACATTTCCTAAGAAGACTGTCACATGTTTTCTGTGGAGCTGCTATTTTGGAAGACCTGAAAGGTGTCCCCAAAGAGCTTTTGAAGAAAAAAGATATTTAGGGTACACAAAAAAGTTGTTTGTTCTATTTTTGTTTGACAACATTCTATTCATAGGTTTGACAACAAGCCACACCTACAAGGAGTTGTTGGGGAAAGCTAGAGACCCTAATAGCTTCCTTGGGATAACAGGAAGGTTTTAAACATCTGGGAAATCATGTCTGGAACCATATGGACATACTGCCTGATTTTCTGAGACCTGATCCACAGTACAGTGCTTAAGGTATGAGTCAGAGAGTTCTTCAGACCCATCTAAAGCTAGAGAGCAGTTAAACAGTTACATTCCTTTCATTATCTGACAGGTTTATTCCCTACATGATAGAAAGCTTTCATGAAATTGTGTAGATATAAGTCAGAAGGAACTTCAATAAGATAAAAATGCAGATCACTACCCAAATCCAAGCTACAATTTCCCAACATTTTCCTGTGATTTTTGAAACACGAGTTACAACCAATTTTATAACTGAAAAATACAGGAGAACTTTGAATGCAGTTATTGAACTTGAGCACTTCCTAATAAAAAATAGCATTTAGAGACACTACAGTTGTTTCTATGAACATCAGAGTCCTTCCTTGATGAAAACTTGCTCAAAATTGTGTCATAGAACTGGTTTCTATTTCAGAGCTCATAGGCCACCTAGCAGTTCCAAGCAGCATTGCTAGACTTGTTTTCAAGTTTTCCAAGACATCCAGTCAAAACATCAGTTATATTTGTTGTCCTCTGTTGATAAATTAGTTAAAAATGTAAAAGGAATTTATGGTTTTAAATCGATATTTTGGTAGTTCATTGACAAAAATATCATTAAAAGATACGTTTTAAATCCTCTAAGTAAATTCAAAGTCTCTTAAAACTGAAAATTAAACCGCTGCATTTAAAGTGGTGTTTCCCAAAATGCTGCATTATTGGAAGTGATATGTAGACATGTATTAGCATTCAGAAGTGGAGATTGTATTTTGCTACATATTTGGCTAAAGCAGAATTTCTAGAAACTGCTCAAGCTCTATGCAGCGCACAGGGAATCAGCACCACCTGCAGGGGAAATGCTGGAAGAGAAAGACTATCAGGCACTTATTTTTAGGCACCAATTTCCCTGTGCCCCTTGCTGAGATACTACTGCATTTTCCATAGAACATTAGAACTGGGAGGGGTGGAAAAACGGCTGTAGAAAACTAAGTGCACTTGTGAAAGCTGCCGAGGATCTGGCACCATCCTATCGACCACTTTACATGAGAGAAGAAACTTGTCCTACCTTGGGTCACAGTGAAGTATTTACTGTGTGTGATGCCATAGAGAGTACAGACAACCAATTTTATCAACTGAGACACAAATGAGGATACATAAGAGCCGACAGGAGAAAGATACTACTGAATCTGAATTAGGTGAGGAGCTTAGTTTGTGTTTATTAGTGTCCCATGTCCCTTTTACTGCTCCTTCTCAGCCTCTGAGCACACAAGAGGGCACAGTATCTACTTAAGCAGCAGTAGATCATTACATGTACTATCACAAGTCAGAGCACCTGTGTGTGAGCTGGAAAAAGGGACCTTGCAGTACAGCATGAGAGAATTCCCTCCCTCCCCAGCTGTGTTGGCTGAAGTTGTGCCCCTGACTGTTCTTCATTTAGCCCCCGATCTGGATCTTATCTCTCTTCATACAAGAACATTTCAGTGTGCAACATAGCTTGCCAGGAAATTAAAACTCCACCCTATTTTATATCAGGTATTGATGATCAGGGGGCACAAAGTCCAATTCACAACTGCAACATTTCTTCAGTGCTTACCTGGGATGCCTGAGAAGTACTGTCCTCCAGGTCATAACATTCTGCAGTAACAGCAGAAAAATTACATTTTAACTTGTTCGTTTCTTCTGTCAGAGAACGAAGTAACTGTTCTCTCCTTTCTGCTTCCTTTCTTTTTTCCTCTAGTTGATTTTGCAGTAAGGACATTTCACTATTCTTAGTTTGGGACCTAAGCTTGTCTTTCAGGTTCTGGATTTCTTTCTCCTTCTCTTCAAGAAGAAGATTGTGTTTTTCTTTTTCAAGGGAAAGTATTTTCTACAGGAAACAATAAAAAAAGTGACACACGAGAGTAACTGTTAGTCTATGCAGCAAATGCACTGGCAAGTTTGCAACAGCTTGAGATGATCTGAGCAACCTGGTCTAGTGGAAAGTGTCTCTGCCCAGGGGAGAGGGTTGAACTATATGATCTTTAATGTCCTTCCAGCCCAAACCATTCTATGATTTTATGGTTCTATGATACTTGCAAAGCTTCTCTCTTAGCCTTTAATTAGCTGAGAATATTACAATACTACAGAGACCATCTGAAATATTTCAAGTGATAGTAAAACCAGTCTGAAATAAATGAAACAAGGAAAGAATGCAAAGAACCAAAGTTAACAGACTTGACAGGTACTCAGTTTTGTATGTATATACAGATCACTACAGTATATGAACCTTAACCACAAGCAGTACAAGAACTCCAAAATACTTCCAGTGAAGAGGTTGGTGCTGCATTCTTAGTACTGATTAGCATATTAGTAGCTCTTGAGGAGCAGCAGAACTTTCTTGCAAAGCACACAACAGTAATTAAAGTTACAGAAAAGGTTTAACAATAAATCACCCAGAAGATCCCCTTTTCCAAGCTGTCTGTCCCTTTAGTATCAAAATGTGTTTCAGCAGATATTTACAACAAGCACTCTCTTTTCAGTAGGCCTCCAGCACAGGTAATTATTACACAGCATTAGTACTGCACTTAAGACACCTTAGGGCTCAGTGTACACTTCTGACATGACAGCTGTGAGAGAGGCTGGTGTAGAAATCCCAAGTGTTGGCACCAAGTCATTAGAAGAGAGAGAAAGTGAAACTGAATTGAAACTGAATTTCAGAGATCCTCATTTAGGGAGTGGTTGAAGACCACAGAGTGGTCACTAGAATTCAAATACTGACACCAAAGAGTGTCAGTACACTTCTAAACAGTCAGTGTACTTCTAAACATGTTGGAGATATTCCACCTGCAAACCAGGAACCCAATATTAAGTAACCAACACTGAGCAAGCAGTAAACACCAACAGACACAGCAAATACACTAAGGAATTTAGCCACAACAGTAGAGAGCTGCCTGGCCATAGCCGAACCTTGGCTTGGGACTTCTCAACTGACACTGCTACTGCATGCAGTTCTGATGACCCCAACATAAGGAGGACATGGAACTGTTGCAGCAAGTCCTGAGGAGGCCACAAAGTTGATGAGAGGATTGGAGCATCTCCCCTATAAAGACAGGCTGAGAGAGTTGGGGCTGTTCAGCCTGGAGAAGAAAAGGTGTGTGGAGACCTCATAGCAGCCTTTCAGTATCTGAAGGGGCTACAGGGAAGCAGGAGAGGGACTCTTGGTTGGGAGCTGCAGTGACAGAATAAGGGGTAATGGGGATAAATTCAAAGAGGGAAATTTAGGTTAGATATTAGGAAGAAGTTTTTTCCCGTGAGGGTGGTGATGTAAAAGGTTGCATATGAGTTTGTTCATTGAACCCTGAATAAAACCATATGTAAAAGGTATAGGGCAAATATATTCAGAAAACTTTAGAGAAATATTCCAAGTAAAAGAATTTATTTAGTACTTAGAAAAGGGGGGGTGAAACAAAGAAGCTAAAAAAAAAAAAGGGACTAACCAGTGATAGACTGGGAGTTTCTTACTA